TTGGTGTTCTGTGGGCTTCTTGTATTTTCATTGGCATGTCTTTCTTTAGATTGAGAAAGTTGTCTTTTATAATTTTGTTGAATATGTTTTCTCCATCTTTGAGTTGGATTTCTTTACAGGTTGGGAAAATTTTCTTCTATGATTTTGTTGAATATGTTTTCTGTGCCTTTGAGTTGGATTTCTTCCCCTTCTTCTATACCTATTAATCTTAGGTTTGGTCTTTTCACAGTATCCCATATTTCCTGGATATTTTGTGTTAGGGATTTGTTGGACTTAAGATTTTCTTTGGTTGATGAATCTATTTCTGCTTGTGTGTCTTCAACCCCTGAGATTCTCGCTTCCATGTTACCCAGCTTTCCTATTTCCAGCATTTCCTCAGATTGTGCTTTCTTTATTGTCTCCTTTTCAGATTTTGGTCTTGAACTCTTTCCTTGAGAGATCTGTTTTTATCTTGTATTTTTTGCTTTATTTTGTCTTCAATTTCTTTAAGGGATTTTCTCGTGTCCTCTTTGAGGTCCTCTTTGAGGCCCTCTGTCATTTTCCTGAAGATGTTTTTAAGGTCATTCTCTTCTGGTTCATCTGCATCGTGATGTTGAGGTCTTACTGGTGTATTGTTCCTAGTCTCTGGTGGTGTCATATTGGGTTTTCTGTTGTTGGATGTGCTTTTACCTTGTCCTCTTCTCATCCTTTCTTCTGGTGGGTGTAGCAAGAGTTTCTTGTTCTCCTTGTGGGTGTGGGACCAAGGTTCTCTTCTGGTAGATGTAAACAGATCTAATTCTCTGATGTCGATCCTCTTCTCGTGGATGGAGATGTCACTGTTACCCGGGCATTGGCAGTGTTCTGGCGTGCCAAGTCCTGCTGGGCTGGCAGTTGGAGGCAGAGCTGTCACCAGCCCTAGGTATATTGGATCCAGCTGCTGAACTCGGTCTGGCATGCAGGATGCTTGTGTCAGATGACTGCAAGTTTCTTGTATTGTTCATTGATAAAGTTATTTTAATGTGCCCTACTTAAGATAACAAACTGAATTATCAAGTGTCAAAAGAGTCCTAAGCAATAGTAGTCTTATTTAATTCTGTCTGCTTATTTCAATTATTTTGGAGGAAGTTCATTTATTAACATGCTGATATTCTTTGACTATGTTCAGATTGAAGTTAAGGAAAAGAAAAATAGAGAGAAATATTTTATTTTCTACTTGTGGAACAACATTTTTCTATGCAAAAAGATGACAATGAAATATGATGAGCTACAGATATAAATGATTAACTTCATCAAATGTGTCTTGACCAAAGAAGTATGTTCAACCATTACCAAGATTTCTGAGTTATTGTCATTGGATTCAAAAATCATTTATGTAAAACTCTTACATGAATCGGTGTCTCTTTGATTTATTATTTATAATCCTACTGGAAGGAGAAATATGGTGGGGATTTGACTGATGTAATACTAAATGTCTATACTTTAAGTGGTTGCATGTAATTATAATATAAGATATATGGAATGAATACATATTTGTATTTTTTCATTGTAGATAACTAATGGGGCAATTTTCTTCATTTTCAGCTATAACATGGATCTCCATTGCTATTTCCTTGTAAATAAATGAGAAATCCATATAGATATTAGTTCCATGGATCAATAACCAAAGTAAAAATGAAAACATATTATCTTTTCTTTAAAAAATCTAGAACTGAGTATAAATGTGGAGTATGAGACTATCAATGTTCAAGCCTTCATACTTCAGTTAATTTAACCCACTTGGAATCTGAATATTATTCTTTGACTCACAGAGTTTTTACTTGGTCAAATACCTGTCAGAAAGATTCTTATTATACAGACAATTCCCACTGAGCACCAGCAAGTATTCAGTATTTAAGAACATGGCATTATGAGGATAGCAACACAAACCAAAATGTATCTTCTAACTGCAGCTGCCTCTGTGTGCTTTTCAAAATAATTAATTCAACCACACTGCCTCTTCAGAACTATCCACAATTAAGTTTCAATGTAGAAAGACCTCTCTGCCAGTAATTCTTGAACTTTTTATCATGATGTTATTTTTTTCATAATGCCTCAATTTTCGTACCCTTTATCCATTATTGATTTGTCTTTATTCATATGTCTTCACAGATAGATATTGATCACTTACTATAAACCAAGGAAATGGTGCTAGGAAGCATACTTATTGTATACAGCACTTTATACATCCTTTACTTCCTGGAACTTACAAACCCTTGTTTCTGAAAGTGCATTCAATGCATTTAAATGGGAATCAAAGGCTGCAGAACTTTTCAATAGCCCTGAAGATGCACAGAAAATTACAAAGCAAGGTTTAGAGTTGCTGCCTAAAAATAGGATTTTCAACTATAAAATATACAGAGTGAAAGAAATTATATATCATACCAAGGGCATGTCTCTGGTTTTGTAAAAGGCAGCAATGAATATCTCCAATTACTGGATGCCATCTCTGACCCTGATTATATTGGCTTTATGTGTACACTAGATTATTTTTCAGTGCTTCTGTAGTTAGGGAGTCACTCTGATTGTACATTATATACTTCAGGTACGAAGGTGAGACTGATTCAGTATTTATCCTTAAATAATAAATAAATAAATAAATAAATAAATAAATAAAAAGACATTTCTTGAAAAAGTTGTGTTTATGGTAACCGATTGACTGTGTGAAGAAGCAGAATAAAATCACGTGGAAAGAGACTTTACTTAGCCTTTTCTTTGTTTCATTGGTATGGTTGACCATTGTGCAATCCTTACATGTATAGAGAATGTGATGTATAGTGTAACAGTTGCTCAATCTTTACTCTAGAGCATGTGTTACAATACAGTATTGTGGGATGACAGAGTGAACGAATGAGTGATGATAGTTTAGTGAACTTTCTTCAAATAATGAAAAGAGGTAGTATTTTACAGTGTATATCAATGTTGCCAAGGACTATGAGAACACTTCATTGATTTTCTCCATGCTTTTTGTTTCTTTGTAGAACGATTCAATGTTTATCTTATGCCTACACCCAATCTGGATATTTATGGTGAATGCACAATGCAGATCACTCATGAGAATATCTATCTCTGGGATATCCACAATGCCAAAGTCAAGCTGGTGATGTGGCCTCTTAGCTCACTAAGAAGATATGGTCGGGATTCAACGTGGTTCACCTTTGAGTCAGGAAGGTAAGTTTCAATTTCATGACAGAAATGCAGCAAGCATGTAACAGAGTCCCGTGAGGAAAATTCTGGCCACCACTGCCAGGTATAAGCATTACCTTATAAAAATGACAAAGTTAACAACTACAAGTATCTTTTGCTTCTTATTAATGATTTGAATATTATTATTAATTATATTGCAGGTTCCCAATCAAAATAGTTAGTCTCATACATGTATATCAAGCTATTTTAATAATACTGTGTTAAATACTATGATAATAATTTTGACACATCTTCATTCAGTAATATTCCTAACTATTAAATGTGTCCTTCATTACATTACTTTCATAAAAGCAAATGATACTAAATATTGTTTTTAATATTATATTTTAGATTTGAGATAAGTTACACAACTTCTTTATCACACTGTTTCTACTGGTAACAGTGAAGAAATTTTGGCATAGCCGCAATTGTCATAAAGCAAATAGGTTAACTTTTTTATCACAGCAAATGGCTGATGCCCATAAATTCTTGAAATGAGTGGATTGTTCATAATTATTATGCATAGACAGGAAATTATACATGAGCTTCAGATAACCAAATCAACATTTTTAATCCCCTGACCTCTTTGGGAAAATACATACCTAACAGGAGACTTAAGTTTAGGGATTTTTTTCTACATCAGGAATTGAACTCAAAGCCTCCTGTGTGTGTGAGTGTTTTCACCAGTGAGCTACATCTTCAGCCTAGGTTTCAGATTTCTATGAAGCAACACAACAATTAATGCGTCAGTCTTCCTAGATGAGAACTGATTGAATACACTGTTCAAATGAGTTCATAGTCTTAAACAAAAATCATGGCTGAGGTCCCAATGCATGTGATATAGCAACTTTAATCCATAACTTTCCTCTTACAGAATGTTTAAATATTCATGTAGAGTTGGGTCCTAAAAAGTTTTAAGAACAAAAATCCCTTAACTACAGTCATTTTCCTAGAATGAAGTACTTTAACACCAAGGAAATATTACACTTTATCATACAGATTTCTCCGATGAGTGTTGACTCATGTATTCCCTTAGTAACCCTGAGCTCAGGCAATTATCAATTCTTTTCTGCCTAGAAACTCAGGGTACAATAATAATCACACTCTGCATAACACTTGAAAATAAAATTTTCAACACAAAGAACTTTTTAGAGATGTACACTGCTTTAAAATTATTACACTATGTAAAATGGATGATGATCTTTTAAACATTCACTCATCTGAAATAAATATTGTTTACTAAATTTAAAAATCAATGTTATAGGGGAATGGGGAGAGAAATACATTAATAAAGTGCTTAGGTATAAGCAGGAGGACCTGATTTCAGTTCCAGAACATACACAATAAAAACAACAACAACAACAACAACAAAAAACGTTGGGTATCATGATCTGTGCCTGTAATCCAAGTACTAACGAAGCAGAGTCAGGACGATACATGGGCATCAGTAGTCTCAACCTGAGTGGTGGGCTGCGCCAGTGAAACAGCCTGTCTCAAAGGAGATCAATGATTTGAGGATGAAACCCCAAGTTGTCACCAAGCATCTGCATACACACACGTGCATACACGCGCACACGCACACACACACACACACACACACACACACACGGGGGGGGGGGAGGGCAGAGAGAGAGAGAGAGAGAGAGAGAGAGAGAGCACAATATATGAACTTGTATAAAATGGACATTCACATATAAACACATACAGACACATGCTTTAAAATTACTGTTGCTCTAGAATGGCAAATGAGGTAGTTATCAATTTCATTATGGGGGAAGGGCATTTAAGGTAGCCTCTCCACTACTACATAGATTCTTAGTTGGTGTCATCCTTGTAGATCTCTGGACATTTCCCTAGTGGCAGATTTCTCTTTAAACCTATAATGGCTCACTCTATTATGGTATCTCTTTTCTTGTTCTAGTCTTCCCCAACTCAATCTTCCTCCTCCCCATGTCCTCCTCTCCCTCCTCTTCTCCCTTTCTCTTTCACCATACTCCTTCTCCCTCCCCCATGCTCCTAAACAGCTCAGATCTTGTCCCTTTCCCCTTCTCCAGGAGACCATGTATGTCTCTCTTAGGGTCCTCCTTGTTTCCTAGCTTCTCTGGCAGTGTGGATTGGTTCAAGGTTGTTAATTCTTTGCTGGATGGGTAAAATCCATGGATGAGTGAGTATATACCAGGTTTGTCTTTTTGTGACTGGGTTACCTCACTCAGGATGGTTTGTTCTAGTGCCATCCATTTTCCTGTGAATTTCAAGATTCCATTGTTTTTTTCCTGCTGAGTAGCACTCCATTGTGTAAATGTACCACATTTTTCCATTCATTCTTCAGCTGAGGCGCATCCAGGTTGCTTCCAGGTTCTGACTGTTACACACAATGCTGCTGTTAACATAATTTAACAGATGTCCCTGTTGTATGAATGTGCATCTTTTGGGTACATGCCTAAGAGTAGAATTGCTGATCATGTGATAGACTGATTCCCATTTTCCCAAGGAGTTTCCATACTGATTTCCAATGTGGCTGTATGAGTTGCCACTCCCACCAGCTGTGGCATAAACTGTCCTTGGTGTTTTGGGTTTTAGTCATTCTGACATGAGTAAGAGGGTATCTCAATGTTATTTTTATTTGTATTTCCCTGATGGCTAAGGATGTTGAGCACTTTCTTAAGTGTCTTTCAGTCATTTTAGACTCCTTTATTAAGAATTGTCTATTTAGTTATGTACCCCACTTTTTAATTGGAATATTTGGTGTTTGGGTGACTAGCTTCTTGAGTTCTTTGTATATTTTGGAAATCAGACCTCTGTCAGATGTGGGGTTGGTGAACATCTTTTCCCATTCTGTGCACTGCCATTTTGTCTTGTTGACCGTGTCTTTCAGAAGCTTCTCAGTTTCAGGAGGTCCCATTTATTAATTGTTGATCTCAGTGTCCTGTGCTACTGGAGTTTTATTTTCAGGAAGCACTCTCCTGTACCAATTCATTCAATGGCAATTCCCGCTTTCTCTTCTAAGACGTTCAGTGTGGCTGGATTTATGTTGATGTCTTTGATCCATTTGGACTTAAGTTTTGTGCATGGTGATAGATACGGATCTATCTGCAGTCTTTTACATGCCAGCATCCAGTTATGACAGGACCATTTGTTGAAGATGCTTTCTTTTTTCCACTGTATAATTTTAGCTTTTTTCTCAAAAATCTGGTATTGTAGCTGTGTGGTTTAATATCATGGTTTTCAATTTGATTCCATTGGTCTACCTGTCTGTTTTTGTGCCACTACCAAGCTGGACTAGAACTCTCTAATAGAGCTTGAAGTCAGGGATGGTGATGCCTCTGGAGGTTCCTTTATTGTACAGGGTTGTTTTGGCTATCCTGGGTCTTTTGTTTTTCCATACAAAGTTGATTATTAAAATGAATAAATACATTTTTTAATAAATAGATACTGTTGCTGAGCAGAGTTGTGCACACCTAGAATCTCAGCTCTCAGCACTTGGGAGGCAAGTCAGTCTCTGAGTTCAAGGACAGTTTAGTGTAGATGGTGAACCATATGATAGTCAGAGCTACACAGTAGGACTCTTCTAAAAAATTTGATGAAACTCTTACTGGAATTGTTTAGTTAATTTTCTTAATTTCCTGTAGCTCAACCATCCTACCACACATCCTTCTGTGGCTTTCTGGCTAAACTTATCTTTTACAGGCTCAGAATTTTTATTTCATTTATGATGTTCACATTATGAACAAAATGTTCACAATTTCTTTTTAGTTTGACTTTCAGAGCTTTCATAGTTTTTTAATCAGTCTATTATGCTTTCAAGGTCTTTAAGAGGAATAAATAGGTTATCCATAAGCTTTAAAATTAGCATGCTCAAGCCCAAAACCAAACTGCTGTCTTGATATCATGAGTTGAACTTCTATGACTTTGACTATTTTAATAGAGTTAAAATAGTTATGAAAACACATAAACACATTAGAATATGTAAGGTTTATACTTTTTGAATATTTGTTGCATTGTTGGTTTATAATTTTTTTATTTGTGTTGATGTTTGCCAGAATAATGTCTTTAAAAATGGATATCCTTGCTTCCATGAGTCTGGAAGTAGAGTTGGATTTTGATTACTTCTTCATTGCTCACTCATTTAACCTGCGCCATTTTTTCACTCAAGTGTTGAGTTTTCTTTCATATAGTAGGGTGTTTGTGATCTCTACATTTTGCTGGGTCTGAAGAAGCTGAGTAAATTATTGATTATAAACTTGTAAACAGTACAGTATTGCCACAGAATTGGCATAGCTGAAATCATATTTTAATCTTCCTCAGAAAATTATATTTTGCTTGTGTCTATTATCTTAGAAACTTTCCAGCTCATCTTGAAGAATTCTTATCAAAGACAAAGTAAGATTCTACTAGGTTACATCTTTGGCCTGAGCCACAGGAAATGCGGGTAGAAAAAAGCCAAACACAATGCTTGGGAGAAGCTTGCCTTTAAAAGTCTGACAGATAGGTCTGAGTTCTCTAGAAATAAAAGCCAGAGTTCCTTACCCTAAGTTCAGATTCTTGTGAAAATGTAACTGATACAAATATTTTGAGAATATATCAAAGGAAAATACTGAGTGGCTGACCTTACATTAACTTTGGGTGAAATGTACCTAGCATTTAAAAGCCAGCGAGATGTATGAGAATTCTTTAATATAAGATGTGCATTTCATTTAGATGAGTTTTTGCTGTGAAATTATTCTGTATAGAGAAATCAGACTGTAAAGCAATGAAGATGTAATGCTCATATGTTTAAGAGATATAGAAAATGCCCTTCAGGTAAATTCTTTTTGTTTGTTTTGTTTTTAACTTATATTGATTCTTTGTGTATTAACTATCATGTATTCCAATCCTACTTATCTCCTTGCATCTGCCCCCTGCCACTGCAAACTTCCTAACAATTCAAAACCAAATTTAAAAGAAAAAAAAAAAGAAAATGAAGAAGGAAGACGAGGAAGAAAAAG